GCCCCCGGTTAACCGGAGTTTCCGAGTGGGCAGGGAGCGCTATAAGAGCGGGACCCCGGTGTGGGGACGGGCAGAAGCCCTGGAGCCTGCCTGCAGCCCCACGCACACCGAGGCTGTGCTGCCAGCCATGAGGGTCATCCCGTCCCCTCCTGTGAGTATTTGCAGACAGGGCTGTGCTGTCCCGGGGGGCTGGGATAGCCATGGGGCATCTCAGAAGGGATCCTGGCCAGCAAGGGCTGGATGTGCCCCAGGGAAGGGGATGGGGATGGTAGGGGAAAACTCTGGGGCAGGGAAAGCTTCAGGCTGGGGCTCAGACCCACAGATGCTCCTGGGACATGAGCAGAGCTCTGTGGAGCAGGGATGGGGTGATGGGGCCTGCACCCCCCCCGTGCTGGCTGTGACTGGTGCTCACTGTGTTTCCCAGCAGTGTATCTACCCGTGCAATCCAGGCTTGACTGCACCTTCATTTCTTACCAGCCTCCCAGTGATGGTGAGTACACGGGGCGCTTTTGGGTCTGTGCAAAGGGTGGAGTGACCAGAGGAGAAGCTCCGCTCCCTGCAGGCCTGTCCTGCACCTGGGGCAAAGCTGTGGACAGCAAAGGAAGGTAAAAAGTCCTTCCCTAGACCTGAGACCTAGAGGTCCACTGCATTCCTGAGTCAGTGGCTGTAGTTGCTGTAATGCAGGGAACAGTTCCTCCTCTGAGAAGGTTTACAAGGGTCCTAAAACCAGAGCAGGGAGGAGACCCAAGTTTTGCTTGCACACACCCCACTTACTCTGGGGTAGGCAGAGGTAAAGTTGGTGACACATACTGACAGCAGCCCCACAAGCAGTTTGGGAACGGTGGAGGAACATGCTGGAGAGACACCATAAGGAAAGGGTCTAACATGAACCATCTCATATGTTTTTTTTTCAGAAAGCAGGCACAAGAAGTGGACGTGTTGTCCACAGGGTCTGCTTCCATGGGTAGAACCCACAGTCCAGCTGGGAGATCCGGGATTGAGACCTCGCCGACGTCTCACTTCTCTCCCTGTTGCACCATTTCCCCCCACGCACCGGAGGAAGCCCCATAAGGAAAGGGTCTAACATGAACCATCTCATATGTTTTTTTTTCAGAAAGCAGGCACAAGAAGTGGACGTGTTGTCCACAGGGTCTGCTTCCATGGGTAGAACCCACAGTCCAGCTGGGAGATCCGGGATTGAGACCTCGCCGACGTCTCACTTCTCTCCCTGTTGCACCATTTCCCCCCACGCACCGGAGGAAGCCCCAGCACCGAGATGGAGGCCCAGCTGCTGGAAAGGAAGGAAGTGAGGCGGCTGGGAGGTCAGCGAGAGTTGGCAGCAACGTTATCTGGTTCCCAGCTGGGGTGGGACACTGCTGCTGGGAAGGAAGAGGAGCTCTGCTCTTCCACTTCTCAGAGTGGTGTTTCATGGTTGGGAGGTACCAAATAACTCCCGTAAAACACTGTCCCGGGTGTGCTCAGCTTCACACTGCCAGCGGGACAGGAACTTTGGTATTTCTGCAAAATCCTTACTGTCTTGTCTAAAACAATAAAATAAACAACACCAAATCTGTCTACCTTGGAGAAATTTCTTTGTGGGCTCAGAACCTCAAGGGGAGGTGTGGGAACAGGGTGAGCTTTTCCAGCCAGCTCTAGGGAGCCCCTTCCCCTGCAAAGTCTCACTCTCTAAAGCCCCTGCCCCTCATTTCAAATTAATCAGTTGTGTTACATGACCTAGGAGTCTCGGCAGCACCCAAGCAGAGAAGGCATTCGCCTACCCTGGGAAGACAGGCCAGGCTGTTATGACTTAAAATATCAGTAAAATATCTACCAGCATCTGTTCAGACCCACAAAGTGCCCCGAAATGGCTGCAGCCAAATTGCTCAGAGATGCAAGATTTTAAAGCCTTCATAAGGTCTTTCAGTAGCAAGAGAGAAGTCCAGAAATAAGCATCCCTTCCTCACACCACAGTATTTCTGTTGGCAAAGAAACAAACCCAACTGGGAAAAAAAGGCGCTCTGTTTTATTAACTAAGAGAGCCACCAGCCTGATGTTGGGGAGAGAAGGTCTCTGCTGTGTAGCCCAAGGCACAGGTGAAAAGCAGACACAAAGCTGGCTGAAGCAGGGCTCATTTAGCCCCTTTTTTACTCTGCCTTCCCAAGCTCAGAGCTGAAGGTGCTTCTCCATCTGCTCCCTCAACTTGTATTTCTGAATCTGGAATAAAGTGCAGAGAGGAGGAGGAGGAGGAGAGACTCAGAGGAGGCCGGACAGGGGGTCAGGGCTCCTGCCCTGCCCCAGCCCCTCTCTTACCTTGCCTGAGACGGTGAGCGGGTACTGACTCACAAACACAACGTACCGCGGGATCTTGAAATGGGAGATCTGGGAAGAGAAATCCAACCACTGCACAACCTGCTGGGAACAGCGTAGCCAGCCCAGCTGGTACTGCCCAAACCAGGGCTGGGTCCCCAGTTGCTCTAAACCCCCATGCTTTCATCTGCAAATCCCCAGCAGCTACTGGGTGTACTGGTGCAGCAGGGAACTGAATTACTGGGCTCAGAGGAATGGGGGACCCACCTTCCCTTTGCAGAAAGCTTTAATCTCTTCCTCGGTGCAGTCCTGCCCGGCCCTCACTCGGATGCAGGCACAGATCTCTTCTCCCATCCGTGAATCCTTCACACCAACCACCTAGTTGGGACAGATGGATGGTGTGACCCCTGGGGACATCCCTCTCCTCCCACACGGTATGTGTGCTGGCCCATAGCATGAGCCCTGACCCAGGCATGGGATGCTGGAGCCATGGTGTGGTGCTGTCTAAAGGCAGCTTGAGCTGTCTAACCATCCCCTCACACGACATCAAGCCCTCCTGGAAGGACTTCCTAACCATTTGCCAGCAGAAAGGTGGCAGAGCAGGCTGGGTGCCAGGATGTCAGCGCCTTCCTTTGGTTTTGCAAAGTCACTGGGCTGAGACAGACCAGCCAGGCGACAGCTCATCGTGGGTGCAAAGTGGATCTGTCATCCCTCTGCGTGCCTCCGCTTCCCCCGAAAATGGGGCAACAGGTTTCACAACCAACAGAGAGACTTGAGAGGCTGCTGCAAATGCTTTGGGATCTCCAGATGGAACAGCAGGAGAAGGATGAAATTGAATTAAAGGATTATTTGAAAACCTTATAATGGCAGATCTTAGTGGACCACTGCTTGTGACACCAGGAGATGGGCTTCCCAAGCCTCAGCTCTCTCTAAAGTTGTGTCACACTGTTTCACAAGAGTCCTGCTGTCATTCCCTGCCTTGAACCGGTATCTCGAAATCCTAGAGACATGTCAATCCTTTTGAGTCCAGAGCAGTGACATAAAGCCCTAGAAACTACATAAACAGGGCTGGTTTGCAACCCATCTGCTCTGGGAGCGTGCCAAGGAGAGATGCTAGCCTGGCACAGGCACAACACTGACTAAATAACTGGTTTATTTATGGGGAAACTTGTCTGGCACAAAACCTGGAGGAGGACGATCCCAGCAGACTGGGAGCAGCTGCTCAATGCTGCAAATCATTGCTGTCTTGCAAAGGGGTGAAACTAAGTCTCACTCCTCATCTCCAGGGACTTGTTGGAAGAGTCTGTTTGGATTTAGAAGTTTAGCAGTTAATTATCAGTAAAAACTGTCCTTCCAGACTGCTTTCCAAGTAAGGATTTCAGAATGAGCTATGCAAGTGGACAGGCAGTTTCAGAACTGAAGAATGACAGTCACTACTTTGCAGACATTTGGTGCACGAGGGGTTTGACGGAACCAGTGTGTCCCATACCAGGAGCTCTGCCTACCCCTTCCATGAGCTTTTACCTCCTGTTCACCAACCAATATTAAGCGAAAGGAGGTGCTGAAAACAGGGGAAGACAAACAGGTCTCTCAAGTAGCATTCCCAGCAGCTTTGTGTGCAGGTTTCCCACCACAGGAACCATCGCTGCTCACCCACCCCACCTCCCCACAACTCACCTGGACCTCCTCAACCTTGGGATGGGTGTGGAGAAACTGCTCGATTTCTGCTGGGTAGATGTTCTCTCCACCCCGAATAACCATGTCCTTGCAACGGCCTATAATTTTGCAGTAGCCGTGTTCATCCAGGCTTGCAAGGTCCCTGCAACAACACCACATTCCTAGTCCTGTCCCACCTGGGTGGAACAATTGCTGATGCTCCCACCCAGCGTGGAGGCCAGGTCAGAGTATCCAGAGAGTAATGGCCAAGATGCCACCTGAATACATGGAAGAGATCAGAATGCTCCTGCTACAGCCAAACACTGCCATTTCCAGCATCCACACAAACATCAAGGCTTGAGGAGAGGCAATTCCTGCCCCAGCCCCTCCACTGCACCAGTAGTGAAGTGACTATCCCCATCTCAGAGGCTCGGTGCTAAAAGCTGTTCCAAAGTGTCACGGACGGATCAGAGGGCTAAACTGGGTCAGTTTTCCATGCTTTGGCAATCACTCCTGTCCATATCTGTCCCCATCCAGCATTACCCTGCAGGACAGAGCAGGAGGAACAGGGCTGCTTCCAGACTCACCCTGTCTTGTACCATTTCTCAGCAGTGACCACTTCACTCGTCTTGGCAGGATCATCCCAGTAGCCCAGCATGACACAGTAGCCACGGATCTGAAGCTCCCCAGGAGTGTTCAGAGGCACAAACTTCCCTGTTTCTGGATCTTCAATTTTTGCCTTCAATTCAAAAGAAGAAGGGCTTAGGAGGGGATGTCTGTGTCAAACATGATGGTACACTCCAGCACCAGACAGGGAGGATGGGCCAAGGTCTGCTGTGGGCAGAGGACCTGGAGCAGGTGGGGAGGGTCATGGTCACCTCTGTGTGGGGAAGGATGCATCCCACCGTCTCTGTTTTCCTGGCGATGCTGTCATTGGGGAATCCCATGAAGGTGACAGGGCTGTTTTCCGTGGTCCCGTAGGCAACCTGCAAACACAAGAAGAGAGACATGCCACAAGGGGAAAGGGGACCACACAGCTCCAGGCATGGGAAAGATGAAGCTAGTGATGACCACAGGGGAGAGTGGGGTGGAGGAGAACGCTTTCACAAGCCACTTGGGTCACAGGCAAGCATCCTGCTCTCCTGGTTCGTGGATGGGGTTCTCCTGACGATCCTGCCAGAGAGTCCTGGAGAGAAAGGAGCTAAAGCAGCACTGCACCTGCCTGCCATGGCCTGCCTCTCCTCTGTCACTCTGCTCCAGGCCCTACCATCCATAATACTCTGGGTGTCATGTACTTTTGACAACCCAACTACTTTTCTTGGAGGACCCCAAGGTTTCCCCTCCTCTTTTTAAACCTGTGTCTCTTCAAGCTCTGTCCTGTTGACTCTCTACCATCTCTGCCAGATGCTGGTCATAGCTTGGTGCCCTTACAGCCATCTACTCAAGGTGCTGGGTTCATCTTCTACAGCTCAGACCACATCGGACATCGCTTTGGAAAAACCCTGGAGCCAGCAGTGAGCTCCTGTGGGACACTGCGTGTCCTGCAGCACGGCTGGTTGCTCCAGATCCTATTGTGCAGACATCAGCTCCTGTAACCCTCCTAAAGGCATCACGAGGCTGCACAACGCTCGGCACAGCTGCACTTCCAGGCTGACAGCCTCACAGCAGGACAAAAGCTTCTCACTGCTAAACCTCCCTCACCGCTAATCCCAACAGCAGGCTCTGAGTCACCTCAGCAGAAGGTCACTTCTCCTCGGAGGAAAATTCCAGCTCTTTATGCCCAAGTGGCCTGCTGGGACAGCAGGAACCAGGCAGGAGGTGCTCTGGGCAGCTCTGAGCTGCACCAACAGCACTGTTACTGGAATTGCTGCTTCACCTCCAGCTCTTGGGAGCTGCATGTCAGTGGTGGGACATGCTGGGACACTGCTCTGGTCTTTCTAACCTGCTCAGCATGTCATGTGTCACCAGGCAGGGTTTCTCTCCCACCCATTAATGTCACCAGTGGCTGCTTTGCTGGGAGAGCATGGCTGGGAAAGGGACAATGCAGGAAGCATTTTCTCCCTTCTCCTCCACATCTTCATCCTGACACATGAGCAGCTCTGACCCACCAAACTGAAACAGGGCCCAACCATCTTCCTACAGCCTGGGCACCCAGACCTGGGTGGTGCCTTTAGAGCAAATGCCCGGGCTCCATCGCTGGCTGCAAGGGCACGTCTGCAGGGTGCTCACCAACCTCCAGGCACTGTGCCCAGAATTAAGGGGGGGGCTCTGCAGAAGCCTGTGATGAGGCATCCTATAAAAAAAACCAACCCGTGCACATATCCTGAATGAGCTATACACAATATTGGAGGGAGCACTCAGCGCTCTCTGCCGCTCGGGGCTGCTGAAGGATCTCACGTTGGGCACAGCCTGTCGTAATGGCTGATGCTCTTGTTTGACGACACCATGGTCAGCGTGAATCTGAGCTAGAGATTTGCAGGAGCCTCCTCTTAGCCAGGAATTTGGAGGAGATCATCTCCAGGATGCTGCAGGGACCATCTGGTGCAAACTGCTCCGCTCGGAGCCTGGCAACCCACAGGGAGCGACTGTCAATAGGCTTTGGACCAGACGCAGTGGTAGCTTCCCAGCTGGGGTGGAATCCTGCAGCATCCTATGCTCAGACAGGATTTCTCTCCCACCCACTAATAAGAGGCCCATGGCTGGATGAAATGACTGATGAGACACAAATCTAAGATCTTAAACACTTATTAAAAATCCCAGCGCCTTTGTTTTTTTGTTTTACTCTGCTGGGTGAATGGCATTGTTGGTCCCAGGATCCCAGCCAAGCCCTGACTCAACCCTTTCTGCCTCTCCGGGTCGCTCCAGCAGTTTAATTGGACACAGAGCAGGCAGCTGCCTGGCAGGACGATGCTGCGGGTGCTGCAGCTCACCAGGCTCCTCCAGATGCCTGGCAGCTTGCCCTCTACCCCAAGCACCGGCTGTCCATGCCCTTGCCAGTGGCTTGTCCCCATAAACACCCTCACACCCTCAGTCAGGGGCTTCTCAACTTGGCCCAGAGAGCAACACAGATCTGAACCTCCAGCCTTCAGTCTGCTGCCTGATGGCTGCCTTCCCCTTCCAGCCTGCCAGACACCAGGATGGTGCTCCTGACCTTTCCAAGGTAACATTTCTCTCTTGGGATGGTGTTTTCCTCACCTGCATGCCCAGGACTGAGGCAGGGGCTGGATTAAGCCCTCACACCAGCACTGTGGTCCTTCCCGACCCTCATCCAACACATGGAACATCCTCCAATGGCTCTGTCATCCTAGCCCAGCCATAGCTTATGATGCACAAGATGAAACAATGATTCCACAAAACCCCTTATACCAACTTAAGCTTGGATATATCCACAAAGATTCATAGCTTTCAAGACCCAAAGGGACACTTAGCATCATTTAGCCTTGACATCTGGTATAATTCAGTCCAGAAAACCTCACCCAATAATTTCTGCATCAGCTCCATAATTTCCACTGGAGCTATATCCAGTGTCAAAGCAAAGCTTTTCAGAGGCAAGGATTCCAGCTCAGACCTTTGGCTTTGAGAGGAGCTATGAGAGTACAGAATATAATTGACTGTAAAGCCTTAATTTACTGCGAGGACCACAAGTGACCCCTCCAGTGCCCAACACAGGATTGAGCTGAAGGCTCAGTCCTGCCTTCAGCAATGACAAGGACAGCTCCAAAACAAACTGCCGCCTAGCTTACTCCTACTGACAAGAGGTCCATTCTTTGTGAATCCTAAGCCTCTGTCTAAACCAGGAATAAAAAGAACATCTTAGCAGAACTGTGTTTTTTAAAGCACATTTCAAAAACATTTCCTGCTAGCGCTGTTTAAACACCGGCCACTGCGGAACAGGCAAAACAGCCTGAAGAAGGAAGCGTCTAAAAATTAAAAATAAAGTAAAAAAAATAATAAAATCAGACTCCAGTCTCTTTAGTAAACATTTGGGAGGCAGACTGATCTGGTGGGGAGAGTGGGGACTCTGAAGACCCTGGGTTTTTCCCAACCGTGGCGCTTATTTAGTGCGTAACTTGGAACGAGTCACATCATCTCTCTGCTCCTCGGTCTTCCACAGCGTTCAACAGCAATAAAAACACCCACTTCCCTCTGTGCTCAACTGCTGCTGAAAGGCTGTGATGAAAAGGCTGCCTTCAGGACCACCAGTACCCCAAGCAAGCTTATACTGGGTGGGACTGGAGCAGAAGGTCAGGGCTGCAGGAAGGCATGAGGTCCTTGGAGGAAACCCCCCCTGGACCTGAATGATGCTCAGGGAGGATCTTCATGCCCCTTGTCACCACTCTGGTTATGCCACGCTGGAGGATGATGGAAAGGCTTGAACCACCGAACTAAAACCTACAGAAATTGAGCTTCTCTGAAGACAATACTGGCCTAGGAAAAAAAGCAGTAAATTGACCGTGAAATAACAGGGATTTTCAGACTTCAAAGAGGACATAATGAACAACAGAAAGCAGACTGGCAACCCAAGAGATGTGCTACGGGACCTCAAAGAGGCCCTCTGAACCCCTCTCAGTGTAACATGCCGGATGGATCTAATTATCCCTAAATCCATGCTGAGTGTGTTGTCTGCCTCAGATATCTCCACCAAAGTCAGTCCCAGCCCTTCCCTTTGCAGCCAGCTCCACATCGTTCTCTACTGAGCAACCATCTTCCCTCATTCAACTGCTCTCTACCAAGATTGCCCTGAGTTTTGCCATCCTCTGGGGGTATGTCTCATTGCTTTGGAGATGTCCCACTGTGCCAAATTATATTGGAATATTCCTAAACCTTCAGGTCAATTTTGCTGCTGCAAAAACAACTTCTGATCACATCCTGCCTATGTCACACTGAGATTTCATTTCCTTCCCCAGCAACAGTACCATCTTTGTGTCAAAAACGTCAGGGCGCAAACAAGCAGGTCTTGTAGGACAAACCTCCAACGGTGGTCACCCTTATTGGCATTTTTCCCCACCAAGAGAGCTGCCAGATATTCCCAGTTTGGATGGGGCTTAAAAAGTTCCCAAAAATACCAGGTGCCCAAAGCACTGTCTTTGTGTGCTTCGCCTCGGGAGGAGACCACGGCAAAAATGGGAACCCAGCTTGCCTGGGCCAGAAACCTGCCACTGAAAATGAACCTCCTGTCATCGCACACTCAGGACAAGCTGCTCCTCGTGGTCTGGAGTTAAAGCTGCCTCTCTTCTTTCCAGGCTAAGCAAAAGTCTTGAGGCTTTCAAGTATTTCCCAAGTCCTGCCAGTATGTCAGAAGCACTGCCCAGTGGCAACCAGTAAAGGCACGTGCAGGTACTTGTTGGTTTATCCCCAGCTTGATAAAGGGTCTTTGCTACGTGATTAACTCCCTGTTGCTGGGTGCCAATGCATTTAGAAAAAGTGGAATTAAAAGGGAAAAGCAAGAGGAAACATGCAGAAACAGAGAGTCTTGCAAGGGTGGAAAATCACTGGTCTGGGGGTACCTGAATGCTCAAAGCTGCTGGAGAAGGCAACTTGACAAAAACCAAGGGGCAAAGGCAACTTCACAGTGTTGGTGAGCTCAGCCCTCACTGAAGACACAGCTGGAAATCCAGGATCTCATTGCTTCCATGTTGCTTTTTAACCATTCTCAGAGCACTTTCCCATAGCTTCTGCACCTATTGAAACCACCTACTCACCAAGTCCTCCCCAAAAATGAGGTGGGATGGGATGGGGAGGTCCCACTTTGGCCAAGGACAAGCAGGGAAGTCATCACTGAGCGGAGCCAATTTTCCATTTTGGGAACAGGGAGAACTCCTGGCTGGGGAGCATTTGAGAAACTCAGAGTCTTGCAGGGTTTGGTTCTCTTCTGAAAGGGAAGAAAGCTCCACTTTTATCCAGAGCCTCCAAGAGCTGCAGAGAGGACAGTGGCCCTGGGCAGAGCAGTGAGCTGCTGGAGGATGCCCAGTGCCTTGCAAGGTGG